AAATTGCTGTCCTTTAACATGACAACAGTCCCATTCCAGTCATATGCCCCAACTGCTCCAAGCATGATCCAGTCCTTTACAAACAGCAGAAAAATCATTGCATTACTATATTCTTGGGGAGATTTATACTGGGGAATAAACCAAAAAAGGGGACTATGCTGGGCAGCCAGCTTATGGGTGGACAAAGTAGAGCAATTCATTCATATATCAGTATTTGATATATAAGCATAACAAAACAGAAAAAAGAAAATATGAATTCAAAATTGGTATGCCAGCATGTATTTGTTCCAGATGTTTAGTAGGTTCATAATCAGCATCTTTAAATGGAAATCCCTCAATATTTTTGGTAAATACGAGACATTACTAAACAGTTTTCCTGTTTTAATTTAATCTGATAAGTAAATATAGAACATAGAATAAGGTCTTCTAATTCAGCTCCTTGCTCATGCAAGAGATCCTATACCATTCTGAACAAATAGTTGTCCTTGAAAATCTCCAGTGATGGAGCATCTACAATTCTGAAGGTAAGCTGTTCCACTGATTAATTATCTCCCTGTTAGGAAATTTCTCTTTAGCTGTAGGTTGTATCTTATCTATGCTAGATTAGGTTAGCATCTCAGATATCATCCTGTTTCATGCATCCTGTTCAAATTAATCCTAATATATGGAATCATATTTTTTTTTGCAATTTCAAATCAGCAAGAGTCATCCTGAATAGCCCTGGTTTCTGATGCCTGCATATTCGTACTGAATATTTTGAATTGCTGTGATATCCAATAAAATGTTTTATTGTTGTTGTTCAGTAGCTAAGGCTGACTCTTTGCAACCCTATGGACCAAATGGCAACCCAGTCCAATATCCTTGCCAAAATAACCCATGGATAGTATCAAAAGGAGCAAGGTACTTTCAATAAATAAGTCAAAAGTTCTTGCAGTTCATAAAGATTAGTTTTTAATTGATTAGCAAAACATATTGTAATATTTCTCTCTGTGGAAAAAGTATAACATACCCAGTTTCTTTTCTTTCTAACTGAATTTAGTTACTTTACCTGAGAATAATGGGCACTGAAGCCAACTTGAGACATTTCCATTTCAAAAGAGGCTGCCTGTTGATCATTGGTAGCTGTAAAACAGAAAATATTTTGTGTTTTAGCATAGTTGATTGAAAATGCTAGTATGACTGTAAGGAATTGGAAACAAGGAAAGACTAGATTAAGGGTTAGGAATGTCCAGACTGACCAATACATTAAATATTTAGAAATGTATCTGAAGAAGTGAGTGTGGTATCCTGAATCCATATTTACCATAGAGATTGATAAGGTGACATCCAGCTTTGAGGCCACAATTTACCACATGGACACTGGTTACAGTAGATAAAACATTTAATTCATCAGAAAAGCACAAATCTATGCCCAACTTTTCACTTGTTGCAATACAGTATGTAACAAGTCTTATCATCCTTGAAATTCTCTGCATTAACTTTGAAAAATTTGTTTTATATGAAGTTCGTTATAGTTTTAACCTACGGCAGCTTCGGCCTCAGCCTTTTGGAAATTAAGACTCTCATGGAGTAGATTCATGCTTTGGTTCAACATTGTTTTCAAAGAATTCCAGTGGAATTCTAATGACTGAAATGTGAAAAGGCTATGTTTATAAAAATCATACAATTATCTCTCCAGAGTCCCAGGAGGGAAGGGCCCTTTCTCAGAGACCAAAAAGAAAGCAAAACCTGGAATCATTGGTATGCAGGAAAAAGGCAAAGGCAGAACTTTCCTAGCAATTCACAGAATATATTTAATAGTTATGCAGATTGTTGCTTTAGCCTGGCAAGATTTCTATCAATAGGTGAATATAATAAATAAACTAGTCAGAAGTAACTCCAGGTGTCGTTCTTGATTTCTTAAGCCTATCATTAATCTTGCCAGATTCTGTACTCCTAAGAAGAAGGAAAATCTTGAGAATGGTGACAGACACCAATTTCTTTGCAGCAGCTAGCAGACACATTGCTATGACATCATTAAAAAGTTGACACACAGATCTCAAATTTACAAGCAACCTTTGTGCAACTTTTGCAACAGGTGTGACTGAGTGCCCTACAACCAGTGGGTGCAGCAGTGTCAGGCACGAAAGACCAGGGTACCATGTAAAGGTTCAATTAAACTGATTTATTGATAAAAGTCTGTGTAGAAGAATCTTTTCAACTTCAGCACCTGCTTAGAATTAGATAAGGGCTAATGGCACTCAAGGGGGGTTAGACTGCTACATAGGGATTCTAGGCTGATCCCTCTTTTCACTCGACCCACAGGTTTGGTCATCTGTTCTCCTAAAGACGTGCTGCCATCGTCCATGTCTGAGGAATTATCCCTGCCAGGTGACTCCTTGGAGGAAGCCACTCTTCTGACTGCCCCTAGCCGTATCATCGCTTCTGCGTAAGTCTGGAAAAGCAGTAGTATGGGAAGAGGGTCTCATGAAACTCAACTTAAACTGGGTTTATATATCCCTCCCTGACTCTGTTTCAACTTTTCTAGTTGGGCATCTATCACTATGCAATACTGGTACAATCCCTCCAAGGCCTATGGAAAGTCCCATGTCATTAGTTCATACTGCTTAAAAAAATCATGCCATTATTTAAATATACATTTTTTTTCCTCTTCACACAGTACGGAAATTGGAAGGAAACCTGGGGCTACATGTGTTACTTTCTCTTTTGTGCATATATAACTTCCTTGGAACACAGCCCATGTTTATAAGCAAGACAGTGGTTACTTTTGCAGAAAACAGGAGCAATATATATCTCTTAATGGAGATAAACTAAAACACTGGAAGCCATTAGATACAAGCATGGTTTTCTTAAAAAACCTTACCATTTGAATAAGATTCATAACCTAATATTAGTAATGAAATGGCAATTCATATATTTTGATGAGTGCATTTTTATATTTATTGTCTTCCTGGTCTTATGGTTGTGTTTTCCATAAAGAAGCTTAGTTTGATTACTCAAAAAAAGATGGACATAAAGTATAAATGTGAAGTATACACAGATGTTTTCCTTGCTGGGGAATATAATCACTTACACATTATTTGGATTTCTGCCTAACGTTTTAAAGCATTAGTAGTGCATTAAGCACTGCAAAGAAGAACGGAAGCAATCTTCTTGCTGCCAAGATAGTTTATAAATGAAGAACAGGATATGGATAGGGATTGTAAAGGATTAAGAACAACTGAATGGAGGAAATTGACTAATACGGAACATGTCACAGTTTAAGTGACAGCAAACTCAGAATCTCAGATATCAGTTCAGTTTTGTAAAGTTATGATTCCAGAAAAAGGGAGGGAGGGAGGAGGGGAGGAAGGTACAGTCATCAATTCTCATGTATGAATTGGTATGATTAGGGCATTTACAGTATGTTACGTGGTTTTTACCTGAATCTGAGATATCAATGATACAGTTTGGTTCTAATTGTGACACAGAGCAGCATGGAAGGAAAATAGACTAAGTGCATGGAAAGACATCATCCAGGTTCAGATATGCCACCATCTAGAGGTTATAAAGGCAGGTGATTCTCAATAAAAAGGTATGAGGACAGAGCTTAAGTTAAAGCCTCATTCTTTCCCAGCACAGCACCTTTCCTAATCAGGATTGCAACTCCCAGAATTTCCAAATTTGCATGAACCTTAGAGGATTTAATATAGCTGAAGAAGATTTAAACACAATAACAAGTACCGTAACTATCTCAAGACATTAATCTGCAGATCAATCTACATTAATAGAAGCCCTGACTATGCAATCCCATCACAATTTCTGTAATGAAGTGTTGCCTCTCTTATCTAACTGTTCCCTAGGCAGCATCCCTTCAACTCTTCTCTCAAGGTCTTTCTCACATAACATCACAATTTCTGTTGTCACAGATCATCCCAGTTAAGTATCCATTTGAGTTCTAGAAGACTAGTACCAGAACTCACTACCAGAACTTATCTTCCTGTCATAATTTTGGGAGAAAAGGAGTAGCTTTTTTTTTTGCCATCTCACTAATCTGCAGAGTGCATGGCCACTAAAAATAAAAATTACCATCACAAAAATACTAGAAAGATTTACTTCCCAGAACGAGGCTGGCTCCAGGGAATTGTCAACGCTTCTTTGAGTGAGGGGTTCTTGCCGGCTGCCTTGAAAGAGGCTGTGGTGAGGCCCCTCCTCAAGAAGCCCTCCCTGGACCCGGCTGCTTTGGCCAACTACCGGCCTGTCTCCAACCTTCGCTTTCTTGCGAAGGTTGTTGAGAGTGTGGTGGCACGACAGCTCCCTCAG